GGATCCTATCCTTTTCGCAGTCCGGCTGAACTTTCTTCATTTCAGCCTCAACCTGCTTGTAGAGCTTCCTGGTCCGAGTGAGGGCACCAGTCAACTTTTCGATACGTGTTCTGGCCACGTCAAGACTTTCAGTATCCTTGGCAAGGTTGGAGTTAGCTTCCACAAGCTACCTCAGAACCTCTTCCAAACGAGTGGACTTCTCCTGATGCAACACCAACTGCTCCTTCCATTTCATCTCACAGAACTCAGCCTTCCGCCTCAGCTGATCAACATCATTTTGCAGGCCATTCAGCTTAGACTCGTATTCTTGGACCTGATGCTTCATTATCTCCTCAACATTTCTAACTTTTTCCTCCAGCTCTGCAACACGAGCTCTGGCTTCATCGCACTCCCTGGAGGCTAAGGAAGACTCTCCATTTTCCCTTACCCACATGGCAAAGTGGAGGCAGGCCTGAAATAATCGACATAGTAGCAAAATTATATTATTCAGATCAACACAGAAATGTTAAGGCAATGAAATCTTGAGCACAATCACTTACAGCAAGGGCATGGTAGGATAAGTTTTGCCTCAAACCACCGTCATCATACTCCTGCATAATCTTGGTATCATCAGGGCCAAGTAAGCCTAGCAAAACTTTCTCTGCAGCAGCTGGCTCTCTCAACATGCTGATCATCTCAGGGGAATCCCTTGTATCAGTCGCATTCTGGAAATAATAGATTTTGGTACAGACACCTCTTTATCAGTTATTTTGCACGTTGATACATTGTGTTTTGATCATATCTGAGTACTTCACACAAACTAAACTAGCCATAGAACGCAAGTTGGTTCTTCCAAAATAGAGTTTTAGATTTCTTTCTTCTGCTTTGTTTTATTTAATTGGGATGAACTAATTAGGCATAACAACGAATAGAGCCGGAACATGGTGCACTCGAATCTTCTATATCAAGGAACTAGGAACTAAGCGCCATAGTACAGGAACATAAGCAGTTACTTTCAGAACCAACCATGAAAAAGGTATTCTTTTCTAATTTTAACCAAAGCACCAGAAAGATGAATCATATCCAATTTTTTCCTCATCAAGGTTTTTCAGTTCTTTTCGTATAAATGCCCTAAAAAAATTAGTTATACAACTACAAATCTTGAACTGTTTCAGGACAAAATAAGGATTGGAGTTATCATCCTACAGATGATTTTCTTTAACTTTGGGATGATGTCTTTAACAAGTAGACAAAACCTTTAAAGAAAAGAGTGATCCATTTGATGCATATGATACAATAATATGGACTGATTGGAAATCCATTCTTACCCCATCTGGGAGATTTACATCATTTGAAGGCATTGGATGCACACTATCAGGTTTTGTTTGGGTAGAATTTTGAGGAGCAGTTCCCTTGTCACAAAACCTTAGCAGTGGAGCTAGAACAGAACTTCTCTCTGCAAAAAACTACGATTTGGTGAATATACTTAAGAATAAAAATTCCATCAGATTCTTATTCACCAAAATTGAAAATTTATCTCAACTCACTGACAGGTGAGTTACACAGCAGAAAACTCGTATGAATAAGCTTGCTAAACATTAAGTTACATAGCTTAAACCATAAACATCAACCTAGTGTATTAAGCATCAGAAAACTCCTGTCGGTGATTAAGAATCATTGAGAGGTGATTTATACAGCTTAAAACTAATATGAATAGGCCCACACTTATTCATATGTGATATAGCACATTTTGGAACTTTCACCGGCATGTAGTCTCAAGCGTTTGCTTCTTCTTACGCTTACCATGGCTGATTCAATATTATGGATGAAGAGAGCTCACTTGGCGGCCTTCCTCATGAATCATGTTATTCCTTGGATAAACAAGCAGACTAATTATAATGATGCAAATACATATTTTCAAGTGGGAACGACTTAACAATATTAGCACAACTCAGACTAATTATACTAATGTCTATTAGGGCAGGGCAGGATAAGACCACCAATTAGTCACATTATCAAAAAGTGTATTTCTGTTTCAATTTGTACCACATAATATTAACCCATTCCCAATAAGAGCTATACGAAATTGGCAATTAGAGATGGTTTATGACTTATGATTATGAGAAGCTGCTTTGCTAACTACTCAGAACTCTGATTACAGCAAGAATATATTAACGGAAAAAAGAAAATAAGGAAACTAAAACAGTAACTTCACCAAATAGTAGCTTAAAAACAATAGTAGCTTAAAAACCTTGCTTGTGTGATTGAAGCGACTAAGGAAACAGAACACAGCGAAAACAGTAGGCGTAAGCAAAACCTTCTTTATAAATGACTTCAACATGATTCTCTCAATTGGGCTTATTATCTTCGTTCATACAAAAATGGGACCCAAAGAAAAGCACCTCGATTGATAAAAATCCTAAATTTCTGACCTTGGAAACTTCAGTCAACCCCACCAACGTACCAGCTCTCTTGCAGGGAGTTACTGGTAAATGGTAAAATACTAAAAGCAAAACCCAGTACTCAAGATTTAAAAAACAGTCTTCGACAAGCCAGAGCACAGAATCAAGAGAAACCCACCAAGCCAACAACAAAGAAGAACCCTTCTGTGACTTAAAGCTAAAAAATGCAAAACACCCATGACCGGAAACTCAGTGAACAAGCCATGAATCAACAGCCCATTAAGAACAAAAGACACAAGAAGCCACTGGGAAGAGAAAGTACTCTTTTTTTTCTTTTCCTTTTTTGTACCTGAGCACCGGAGGCAGAGAATCAAAGGCAGTTCTTAAAACCCTTGAGAAAGGCAAATGCAAAGGCAGAGGGAAAGGCAAAGAGATTGTGATTCAAGAGACTAACCAAACGACCCCATATCGTATGCATTTACCACCTTTTCTTTTTATTTCCCATTTTGTGTGTCATTGCTTTGCGATTGAAGGAGGTTACGGCAGACTCGGAACAAGGGATGGACGTTGGCGTCTTAAAAACACCCACAAAATAGATAAACGAACCATTAATAAAAGGAATTAAAGTTTTGAAAGTTTTGATTAAGATATCATTTTAAAAAAAATGTTTGATGATCGGTGACAACACGCGGGAAATGAATAAGTACTTCAATATCCACAAACAAGCTTGAAATATAACTCTAAACATGAACAAATAAAGATGGCAATTTTTTGTGTTGAAATATAACTCTAAACATGATCATTGATATATATTTGATAATAATGTAGTTGTATATGTGCAGATCCCACTATTAGCGTAATCAAAAAGGGCTTTGCTAGTTGATCTTTGATATATATTTGATAATAATATAGTTGTATCTCTCTTTGACAAGTTGGGCAGGAGAAACGAGCACCATCAACCCTGTAACACTCATAATGAATTTTACAGTGATTGCAAAAGGCTCAGAAAGTAGTCAACGTCCACCAGTTCATCAATGTCTTCAGTTTCTTCCACTTGCTTGCTAACATCTTTGTTTAGCTCCGGTGTTGGCATGATCCCACCTTCCATCTTCTGGTTTTGGTTTTGGAAGTCCGCTACCAGCTCTAGCTCGGTGGTCAGAGCAATCCTTTTTTTCGCA